ACGATTGCTAACATTCTAGCACCGGACTTTTATACACCTTGTACAGGATATGGCACCAATGTACTGTTTTTTTTTTTCTTGTAGATAAAATAAACTTCACTTAAAAACATGATCATTGACAATCCTTTTCCAGGTAAGAGACTACATCTCTTTACGTAACGATAGTAAAATTTCTAATGTTACTTTACTTATTTCTTTATATCCCACAAAATTGAATTCTCAAAATGCAGCATTCAAGACTTGGTAACGAATTCTTTGGGGGGGAGGGGGGGGGTTACAGTTGGTTTCACATCATTCTTGTTACGGGTTCATGTTTTCCTTCATAATTTCTGAAGCCAGAGATTTCTCTCCGTGCTTTAGCCTCTACTAGGCTTGAGGGCGCGGCTTGAAATAGTAGAAATTGGCCAAATAGAGAGATAACACGCCGAGGGAGTTTAGCCATCCAGTTTACAGTTTGCCGGCCCACAAGCCTGTGGAATATTGCTATCTTCATAGGCAATAAAACTAATCCACTCGTTTTCTGTACAAAGAAAGTAGCTTCGGAGTTCAGGGGCCGGCAAACTGTAAACTGGATGGCTAAACTCCCTCAGCGTGTTATCTCTCTATTTGGCCAATTTCTACTATTTCCAGCCGCGCCCTCAAGCCTGGTAGAGGCTATCCGTGCTTTACAGAGCTGTTGTTTTGTACGAGTAGGTTGAAGTCGAGGACGGTACGTACCTCGGTCTGTACACAGACGAGTAATTTGAGAGCCCGCTCGAGCTAGTTGATCTATAATTAGAGTTCAAACTAGAGTTTCTCAGAGAGGTTGATCTAGAATACCCCAGTAGCGGGCCTCCTATGTCCGCTGTTAGACTCAGGGACCGTGTGTAGTTGGTGGACAGCCGAGTGGACTCGGGAGTGTACGAAGAGTAACTTGATGAACTCGAGCTCAACGTTCTCCCATAATTCCCAGAATAACCAGCGTCATAAGACACAGACCGGCCAATAGCCGAACGAGAAGCTCTAGAGTCCTCCTGGCGACTTGATGACGACCGTGAACTTTCGCTGCTTGAACTTGAACCGGTGGATCTGAGCGAGCTTGAACGCGACCATGGCTCTCTGGTGGTCGATTCTGTCGTACTGCGCGCGCGCGATGTGTAAGATGGCGGCGAGTCGTCCGTGTCGGTTTGACCCCGCCGAAAGGAACTCTGGGAGTACGACGAGTACCTGTCTGATGACGTCACGTCGTTGCTAGGCGACCTTCTATTCCTGGTGCTGACGTCACGTGCTGATGACCCGGCCCTGCACAGCGGGGTGTAGTGGGAGTAGGAGAAGCCTAGAAAGACGGTATCGCCGCCGCCGAACTTGTAACCCTTTGGTCGGTAGGAAATTCTCCTGTTGCCGTGCCGGTTGGAGATCACGCAGACTTCCCTGCCGAACGTGTTGGACACGGCCTGCAGGACGATCTCGTCTCCCCAGGTCCCGTCCATGGTCATGGTGCGCAGGTAGCTCTCCCAGGCTGACTCCGTAGCGCCGGGCAGCCAGTTCTTGATGTGCTCACCGTCAACCTGTGGGAGGATAGGAAATAACGTTAACTTTTTATGAGAGATGGAACCAGAGGAATATTTATTTTTAGAGTTTTTCGAAGTTCACAATCGTGAATATAGTTTCATAAGGTTGGTAAGTCACTGAGTAAAGAGACTTTTTTTACACAACGAAGTCTTTTATTCAGCTGACGTTTAGGTGACCGTCAGTCACCTTCCTCAGGTTAATTCTGACTAGCTGGTTCACATTATATCTATAGCTGTGCTGTGCTGAAATGCAATGTGAACCAGTCAGAATTGCCCCGAGGAAGGTGACAGATGGTCACCGCAATATGGGCTTAGCTGTGTAAAAAAGAGTCTCTTTACTCACAATATTCTACACAGAAATCCTGAGAAACAACCTTAACAAATTGCACAACCTGAAGTCTGATATTCGATACGATTGGACCAACTTTTCTACACATAGGGCTAATATTTTGTGGTGTGGAGTGACTAGATGATATGCGTGTACATATTGGCCCATAACAAGATCATCATATGTAATGGAGACATCAGTTGATGATAGCTATATGTCATTGTTGATTCTGTGATTAGGGAATGAGTTGCATAAGTTGATATGTGGCTGACATAATTTAACGTACATATGATTCGATTCACACATGTCCATTAAATATAAGCTAGCATTACTAAAACGCATATGGGACAGTTACAACAAAAATATGTACATTTAAGAACTGATGACATGTTCCTACATATAATGTCTTGAGTTAACTATGATGTATTAGAAAAACTTTGTGAATTTGTATACAAATGTGTCAAGAAGAGAAAAGAAACATGTACAGTTTAGACCAAGATAGAAATAGTATAGTATAGAAATAGTATTCCTAATCCTTATTTGTAACTAAAGTAGTACATTTAGTCCCACTGGGGTATAAATATGCAATAAACTTCATAGTTATTATCATTAAAGATCGCCCCCTCGATATTATGTCATATTTTGTTTAGAACAATATTAATTAGACATCCCCGTGTTTTTATCTGACGAACAGTATCAGTTTTCAGTAGTACCAGCACGAGATAGTGTCACACTGAATTAAGTTGAAATGTTCAGTGCTAAAAACCTCTTACAAACACCGTGTAGTAGGGGTTATATATAGAATTAAACTGGGTCGTTATGTTTACACCAAATGATTGGCCGGATAGTTAATCTAATTACTATAACTTACGATTAATTATCTCCAGTCTTCAGTAGTACTCACACGAGATAGTGTCACACTGAATTAAGTAGAAATGTTCAGTGCTAAAACCCCTTACAAACACTGTGTAGTAGGGGTTATATATAGCGTTAAACCGGGTCGTTATGTTTACGCCAAATGATTGGCCTGATAGTTAATCTAATTATTATGAATAACCATTAATTTTCTCCTAAAAAGAATTTAAGTATTACCCACACGAGATAGTGTCACACTGAATTAAGTTGAAATGTTCAGTGCTAAAACCCCTTACAAACACTGTGTAGTAGGGGTTATATATAGAGTTAAACTGGGTCGTTATGTTGACACCAAATGATTGGCCGGATAGTTAATCTAATTACTATAAATCACGATTAATTTTCTCCTAAAAAGAATGTAAGTAGTACCCGCACGAGATGGTGTCACACTGAATTAAGTTGAAATGTTCAGTGCTAAAACCCCTTACAAACACTGTGTAGTAGGGGTTATATATAGAATTAAACGGGGTCATTATGTTTACACCAAATGATTGGCCGGATAGTTAATCTAATTACTATAACTTACGATTAATTACCTCCAGTCTTCAGTAGTACTCACACGAGATAGTGTCACACTGAATTAAGTTGAAATGTTCAGTGCTAAAACCTCTTACAAACACTGTGTAGTAAGGGTTATATATAGCGTTAAACGGGGTCGTTATGTTTACACCAAATGATTGGCCGAATAGTTAATCTAATTGCTATAAATCATGATTAATCATCTACAGTCTTCAGTAGTACTCACACGAGATAGTGTCACACTGGATTAAGTTGAAATGTTCAGTGCTAAAACCCCTTACAAACACTGTGTAGTAAGGGTTATATATAGCGTTAAACTGGGTCGTTATGTTTACACCAAATGATTGGCCGGATAGTTAATCTAATTGCTATAAATCATGATTAATTTTCTCCTAAAAGAATTTAAGTAGTACCCGCACGAGATAGTGTCACACTGAATTAAGTTGAAATGTTCAGTGCTAAAACCTCTTACAAACACTGTGTAGTAGGGGTTATATATAGAATTAAACGGGGTCGTTATGTTTACACCAAATGATTGGCTGGATAGTTAATCTAATTGCTATAAATCACGATTAATTCTCTCCTAGAAAGAATTTAAGTAGTACCCACACGAGATAGTGTTACACTGAATTAAGTTGAAATGTTCAGTGCTTAAACCTCTTACAAACACTGTGTAGTAGGGGTTATATATAGAATTAAACGGGGTCGTTATGTTTACACCAAATGATTGGCTGGATAGTTAATCTAATTACTATAAATAACAATTAATTATCTCCAGTCTTCAGTAGTACTCACATGAGATAGTGTCACACTGAATTAAGTTGCAATTGCAATGTTCAGTGCTAAAAACCTCTTACAAACACTGTGTATAGGGGGTTATATATAGCGTTAAACGGGCGTTATGTTTACTCCCACCGTATGTTTTTTTTAACTTCTTGGCTTATTTGGACGACATCATATGGTAAATCTAAAACTATCCCCAGTCCGTTCCGTCGTGCAACCGTGTCGAAGTCGTCGGTTGGAACCTGAAGCTCCATGGTTTGAAGAAAAATTTTGACAAAATCACAAAAGCTTTGTAGTTTGTGTCGGCACGCGCGAGTACTAGTAACTGAAACAATTAGCATCGACAGTGATCGACAAAATGGTTGCTGGAGATAGAACGCTGAACATTGCATTGAATGTGTTATTTGGGATTTGAAATGCAGGTAGGTGTATAACCTCCTTAGCTACACGAATTTAAAAGAAAACATGGGGCCATAGGTTTATAAACTGTGACACAAAAATGGCGTCGGTTTGTAAACAAAGGAAAAAGGAGGGAACCGGTCTAATCCAGATATGTTGTGAAAAAACTCTGGCTTCAGCCGACTTTCATCTACAAAGATTTACTATTATACTTCTACTATTTCTAAAATCTTCTTAGTACGGTCATTTTTTAGTACGGTCTATCATTTGACTCCAGAACGTTACGATGTATTCCCCGAGACGAAGTACTCGGCACGTCGGCCAAACAATCATGGCTTCTGTGCTGTTTCCGCGCCGTAAACCTCGTTTTGTAACAGGTACAACAAGAATACATGTATAAGAATGTATCTGAATCGTATGTAGTGTGTTTTTGGTAGATGTTCTTGAATAATCACTCGAGTCTGGAATTTTTTAGACATATTCTAGATGTTCTGTCATGCAGCCGATGCCGGCGCGTTCCGTGCCGTCTGAAGTATGCAATAGCGCGATCAAGGCCGATTGGACCCTGGGAACTTTTAGTGTGTTGAATTACGAAATAAGACAAATTGTAGCACAGTTGCGAATTATTGTTGGTGGAATAAGGAATTAAACATGGCTTGAATGAGTGTTGGGGCATTGTTAATTGTGTGAATAAAAGAACAATAGGGGCGGGGAAAGGCGCGCATATGAAAGGACAAGATCGCGGGAAAAAAACAGCGACTCGAAGTATCTCCAAAACATGCCAAGGCCCCGCCCGCTAAACGTGAACCAATCAGCTATTGTTGCCAATAGTGAAATGACTGATTGACACCGACTTCTCATTAATATT